AACTGTCACCTGAACAGAACTTGTCATAAATATGAACTGAACAGTAGTTGAGTCTTCTTCTGTCGTTCACCCCCCGCAGCCCCACAGTCCTGTCACTTCAGCTGACTCTGCACTTTGCACACACACACACACACACACACACACACACACACACACATATATAAGCCGTGAGTCACTTCACTCATTCGCACAGAGTGAGGAGTTCAAATCCACGGTGCAGGGCCCCGGGGCCGTCCGTCACATGGACCGGTGTGTTTCCTGCGGTTACAAACGATAACGGTGATTCAGCGGTTCATCTGCTCGATGTCTGTTATTATCCCGGGTGATTTGGAAGCACATTGTTGAGTCCTCCGCATGAGTCAACTGCCTGCGTGTGTTTTTGTGTGTGCGTGCGCGCGCATGTTTGACGGCAGAAAATTAAAGGCTGGTTGTATTTCTCCTTTTACCTTCTGGAATCAAATGAAATGAAATCGTTGTCGATGGAAAAGCCACCAAAGTTTTCCAGCATGAGGTTTTCCCTCCAGAGCGAGGCTGTGTGTTGAAATCATTTGTCTAATGTTTGTTTTATTCTGCTTTTAAAATCACTGCAGGGCACAAATCATCGTCTGAAACACAGCGGCGAATTATAACCGCGATTATTTACGAAGAATGTGGTCAAATAATCGTCTGTGTATTTAGGAGCGCGTGCACACGTGAAATGAATCAGCGAGGATCGAAGAAACATCTCCGTGTGTTTTACAGTACTGTACAAATACAGATGTACATGTGTTTTACAAACGTCATTATTTTTGTCTCAAGTTTCAGAGAGAATGTGGAGAATTAGAAGCTATATCTTCTTCGACCACTGGGGGGCGTTTCATTAATCATTTTAAGAGTGAATTAATTTTTTTATTTGTTTAAAAATGTACTTAAAAACAAAACAGGCTATGAAAGCAACTAACTAACTAACTAACTAACTAACTAACTAACTAACTAACTAACTAACTAACTAACTAGTACTGCTCTTGTACTGTGTATTTTAAGGTAATTTTGAAAACACGGTGGGTTTTGACCCCCAGAGGACCAAAAGTGAGGGAAGACAAAATTATTTTCTGCCATTAAATCAGCTGTAAATGAACTTATATAATATATATATTATATATATATATATCGAAGCAGTATAGTTAGTAGTACACTGTAGTAACTCCTACAAACCTACAAACTTTAGGGATTTTCCATGGATGTCTCTCTGACTCACGTCCCACCGCCTGAAGTCGATCTCTGACAAATCCTAAGGTCTTTAGTGGCTGCATGTCTCGCTGTGATTTCCAACTTATTCTCACTCTGCGATACTTCACTTCCTGTGAGCCTGTGGATAGTTAAGACAGCACACAGTCATCCATCAAGGCTGCGGCCCTCATTACTGTCCCAGGCCTGACTCAGAACAGGATGCTGAGCAGTAAAAGTCGGTGCCACCGTCCCAGAGGTTTCTGACTCAGCAGTATATGTTTCTAAACCACAGCTTTAAGTTTAGTGAAAGTGAAATTCTCATACTCACTAATTGGAATAATAAAAAATATTTTCACAATTTACACTTTTCATTACATATAAAAACAAGTATATATACAACTACTTTTCATTTGAAAAACTGTAAATTATGAATCAGGATAAATCCAATGCTGGAATATTAACGAAATTTCCACAAACTTTGGAACTGTACACAACTGTGCAATAAAACCTGTAATTTGCTACTGAACTAAACTGACAAACAGGAGGCGTGGTGCCTTCACTGACCAAGCGCACTGTGTTTGTTAAATATAAACAAATGACAAATTTAGAAGGAGGCGTGGTGCCTTCACTGACCAAGTGCACTGTTTGTTAAACATAAACAAATGACAGATTTAGAAATAGACAACTGTAAAAAAAAAACAACCTCCAGACTAGTTTGAGGCAAAACCAGTTGATCTTTGACCTACGGTTTCTGACATTTTGTCTAGTGGTCTGGTCTGGTCTAGTCTTCAGATAAACTCAATTTCCCAAAAGTTCATGTTTGTGATTTGTACAATATAGAAAAATGTAGATTTGTGTTTTTTTAAAAAGTTGTGTTTTTTTTTCTCTGAGCTGTCCTCCAGACTTCACCTGGAAGGCAGCATGTGTTTCACATAAATTCCAGTGTAGATACGTAGCTCATGGTGTAGCTAATGATATACATCCATACCTGAACAGATGGTGGCGTTTGTCCTCCAGTTCATACTATAGTCAGAATTGTCTTCTTTCATCTTTTTACATAAATCTCACGGCTGCTTCTCCACAGAAACTGGATGAAACAGTGATTTATATTCAGATAATTCATATAGATATAAACATCGCTAACACCGGGCTAACATTTGGTGCGGCTTATTTGATACATTTTTAAAAGATCTTTACTACATTACAAATACTACATTAACTCCAGATAATGAATGTTTTACATTCTTACGATCAGGTGCTAAAAATGTTGTTTTCAAATTGTGAGACACATTAGCTATGTTAGCCACTTATGTTAGCAAATGTGTTAGCAGCTAGTTTGCTAATTGAGGAAAATGTTATTTCTGTTCTTAACCACTGATGTATTTTATATTTTTATGGGTTTATATATTATTTATGTGCTGTATATATATATTATATATTTGTACACTCAAAATATTAAAAACCAACAGCACCCTGGCTTCTCCTGTGCCCTTGGGCTGGGCAGTAAAAATACACAGGTGTTTCTGACTATTCTCATCTGGCAGAATAAGAACCTCAGTGAACAGCAGTCTGGTTTTTACTTCTGTTTTAGGATTATGGCCCTGAACAAGCCAGCAGCAGCTCGATGAATAGAGGCTCTGTGCGCCTTGGCTAACTCTGTCTCCGCTAACCCTTTATAAACAGAAAAAA